GTTTCAACCTAATTTTTGAGCATTCTTAATGACCCTGCTGTAAATTTGTGAAAATTACTTTTCCCTTTTGCATTCTTTGGGAACATTACAAGTTTACGGCATTTAAAAATCCAAAACTATCAGCAGAACTCGTGTGTGAGGAGAAGAGAGGAAGTGGGACATTCCTGCCCAGCAGATGACCAGGTGATTGGATGCGCAACCTAACTAAGCTAAGCATACTTCAACCACCGGGCCTTCACAACTGAGTGTCACATCTTTAAGGCTTAAAAGACCTGTGAGGATCGCCTTCTGCCATTTTATCCTCTTGGTCCCGATGTATATGAATAAATTTCTCTTGTTAAACATGATAGCAGAGGCAGTTTAATGTTTTTCTGCATGTGATCAACCTCGAGTAAGATTGACCTGAAATTAGATACGCCAGCTTTGCCAATCAAGCAAACTAAGCAGGTTTTATTGTTTTTGTTGTTGTTGCTGTTGTTAATGGCCCTCACACGAGCGACGGAGAAAAAGGCGATGCCAAACCTAACCATTACAGCGTGGTTCGTCTCCTACCAAGGTAGAAGGCCGCACTAACACTCGCGCGATGCAGATGTAGATGTGCCAAACGAGTGGAAATTTCCCTTAGTCAAGATGCATGACTTACGAATTCTAAACCTAATTGAAGCCACTTTTTAAAAAGAACGTACACAACGTAAATGTACGTTTTTCTTTCTTTACCATTGTGTGACACTACTGTTTCCGTTCAATGACTGAGACTACCAAATGCCACATCAATTTACTGTACCAACTCTGATCCTCTATGGTGATATAGTGAATAATTTAGCTAAACTCAGTTGTGGCGGTAAATACGTAAACTCAGGGTCTGTGGGTGAGCTATTGGCTTGGAATTTTACACTAGTTATCCACCTAAGTATGTAACGACCCCACACAATTACACCTCTCTACTCATGCTTAGTCGCAGCTACTGCTTCTTCCAGCCACATTCACTACGCGAAGCTGGGTCTTTTCGCATTCTACATTAATTACATGCAAAGATGTCTAAAGTGACCTTTCCGAAGCTTTTGTTGAATTCCAAGCTGTGCATTTCGACCTGAACTTAGAGACTAATAATTGAAGTGCGATTATACGGTCCATTGTTTAAAACTGAAAGAATGCTGAGGTTCACTTTAAAATATTCTCAAGATTTTGTTCTTTATAGACTTAATTTACGGCAGCACCACATTTCCACTCTCTAACTCAAATCTACAGTAATAGCTGAACATGGATTGGGGCAGCAAAACAATCTGCATAAGAAACCGTGATAACTTGACTCATCTTGATCCCATGGAGGCAACTATTGAACCAGGGCAAAGGGAAAATTGCTACCAGTCTGATGAATAAGCCAATTCTCAAGAGCGGCAACAATAACAACGGTAAGGCCTTAGCAACGGAGACTAAGGTAGTTAAAACAACATTAAAAGAATAGGAAAACAAAAAAAAGGAAGATTGTAGAGTAATGAGCTTAAATTGTCTGTAGCAATTTACATACGGATGGTTTGAAGTGACAACAATAGTTGGTACACCTTGCCAACACTCATGGATCCGTTCCACCGAGGCCTACTCAGTGACACAAAACGCATCTCCGCTACCACCACTCAATCGAAGCTGAACGTGGTTAACTAAAAGTGATAAGTCTAATCAATGAGTAAAAGTTCCAATGAGAGGCTCCTGATGGCTTCGGTAAATCACGACTACAAATATGCCTCACGACTGATCGCACCATCTGAGCGAAGGGGTGGGAATATTTCACAAGTAACCCTTTTTAGTGAGTTCAGACTGTGCAGATGTGATGTGAAGCGGTTGCTCTCACTTCAAACATAAACAGTTGCATCACGCAAATCAAAGTTATCGCTTCTCCAAGGTGGAATAAGTGGCCTTCAAAGAGCTATTGCTCTGCAGTACTGCTTTCCTTTAACAGCTCCTCCATCGATGGCAGTGCAGTCTACAAACAACAAGCCTTTGTGTTTCGCCTACTTATAGTAAGCAAAAAGTTGACACCTATTCAGCCGGTGGAATAAGAGCAATTTAGAGCATGCTGTGTTGCAGAGACAGAGCCAAATTCAGTTGGTAAAGTCCATTCAAACAAGACCTTATTCTTCCCAAAATTAATTTTATAAATTTATGAGGTTTTGCCTAAAAAAGCTATGAGCCCACTTGTTAAAACTCGAGGTACCTTTGTTAGATTAAGTGCACGTGTTGCCTTCACGCTGAATGAATGTGTTGAGACGAGTTGCTCCTCAACCCTTTTTAAAGGCTGGATGCTCGAGATGCAGCAATTCTCGCTTTGCAAACATTATGTGTCACATGCGGTGTCATGCTAGCCCACATAGAGAACTTCAAACCCCATCAAACTTTTGCGATTGAGATGATGGCACGTGCTCAACACTTGGCTGCATGACTCACTCAATCCACTCCGATTAAGCTGCAGAGTGAGTTGTGCCATTTCTCCTCCACTGTTGCAGAAGTGTAATGCACACTTCGCGGTTTGTGCCCACCACGTATTTCGACTTGTGCCGTTATTTGCTTTACCTATGCAGACATGCAATTATCCGTTTCGTGGGTAGGCGATGCTTTGTCCACAGGGCAGTCCATCCTTTGCCAATTCCTCTATAGCTCACTCGCAGTCTGCGCTACTTCCATAAGGGCCAAAAGCATCAACCGATTCGCCTGAAGTCCACTTCGCCGATGAAACTCACTCGAGGGACTACATATTGCTAAACCCACTTACAGTCAACTTACTTTCCACCACTTTGCCTCCCATCACAGGTAGTAAATATTAAAGTAGGACCGTTTAAAATGCCTCACAAAAAACCTGTGCACAATCATCAGTCATGCACTGTGGTTCCAATGTACCAATACTTTCGTTTCCCAAACACCCTTGACAATACGTCCCTATTTTAGGCAAAAGAAATTGTTTCAATATGTAGGTGGATTTTCTATCGACTTATGCAAGGAATATAATTTTACCGGCACTTCTTCATGCCGGCACTTCTTCTGATACCTTTGCGAAGTCAATTTAATTAATTTTTCCACTCACACTCCTGTCCAACATCACTCCTAAGTTGTCCCCATTTTTGCTTCAAGGATTACACAACAGAATTTAGTAAATGCTACTTCATTATGCAAGGTAAAAATCAAATAAGTAGGTAGGTTGCAAGCAAAAAGCGGTAAAAAGTAACGTTTTGGAATGCGCGGTGCACTTAACTCTAGTTCACACCGAGTTGGTGGTAATTATGGCAACTGCACCTAAATCGGTCATTTTAGAATGTGTTTAGCACATTTCTCAGCTTGCATTATTGTGTTGAGAGGATTTATTCATCGGTAAACATACTGGAAAAATAGTATTTCAATGAGAAATGAAAGTCCATCAACTAAGAGTTTTGTTGCTCTGATACGACAGCGTCGCTTGCCTCGACAAAATGACAACCAGTTCAGTTGGCGCTCTAAATTTAAACCAGCAATCATACTCAAATCGTAGAAGTGTTACACTCCAACCCATCCAAATTGTTCGTGGCACGATTTAGTGCCATCATCTACCCACCACTGCTCAAGAGCAAAGCAATACCGGTCTCGAGTAGAAGGATCAGTACGCAGTCACAGGTTGCGCTGACGACGAGCGCCTTGGAGAGCGTCGACAAAAATTACAAAAGTGGGCATACATTTTCATAAATTCCTACTGAGTGAGACCAAATAGAATGCCTCGTCAAAGCAAAGAGCATGTTATGAACATTCTGGTGCTCACTAAGTGCTCCCGATAAAGCACAATGTCAGTTCTTTACATTGAGAACCAGTGCCTACTACTCCACCACGTGTTACTGATGCACTGTCAGTCGACGTCTTCATCACCGATGAAGTTGGCCGATCTTCGCATGCATCCTGCCTCAAGTAACACCTACACCAATTCACTCACACACCCCTCCTCGCACACAGTGCCGACTCTCACTAATCCATCTCCATCTTCTGCATTTGTCATTCTTCTTTGCTGTGGTTGATACTGTTCGACCTCCTCTCAGTGCGCACTGTGAACGCCCCTAAGGAGTGCTGTTACAACGACAAATACGTTGTGACTGACCACAACGCTACGAAAGATGCAGACAGTGTAGAGAGATGGCGACCTGCTTACAATGACAGTTCCTCAATTTCTCTTTCCCTATCTGGTGCCGCAATTATTAACTTGACCTAAGTAGACATGGCATCCTCCCTACAACTGCATGCACCTTCGCTTCGCTTTGCTTCTTTCTATCCACAGTCACTCCACGAACACGTGTCGCAAGTGCTGCAACACATCACGTATCCTCTTAATCTGCCAATCTTCATCCAGCGTGCACTCCTCGAGGCAAAGCACCAGAGAGACGCTACCATGTTGCCTAAAGAGCCTTAATATTTCCTGCTGGGAAGCAGGCTGGCATATCAATGGCCACTCGGAAGCGCGCACACGTGTCACCGAGATCAAAGCGTCAGACGTCCGATAGGAGATAAGGAGACAGTCAGCTTGAGTGAACCCAATCAACGACTGCCCACTCTTCATCCAATCGCATCTTACTTTCAGCTCTGTTTCCCTACCATTTTCACGGAGGCAACGCAAACACATTCCCGTCCACGATTGCCCCTACCACTTCCTTCGCATACTCAGGCCACGTAGGAATAGCGCGTTGCCCTCTCCACCACGAAACACAGTGAGTTGCAACAGTTGGATTCAAAGTTGGGAAATGTTGTACAAAAGTGTGATTACATTACAGAGAGCACAAGTCTGTGCAAACAAAGTAGCGTGGAAACAGGGGGCGCGACAAGGTGTTGCTTTGGTTTGCATTCCATTGTGACTCTGCTCCATCAGTTGGCATGTCGTTTAGTATACAATGTACGGAACGCATTCTGTGGTGGTTTAGCAAATAAAAGTCCTGCACACAATACAAAGTCACATCTGTCATGAGGTGGGATGTAGGAGCAACATTGGGGGCTTGTCATCGACGGACGGCATTGGCAATGAGTGCCAGCAACTGTGTTGCTCTGTCTGCCTCATCCAAGTCGTTCGGTAACAGAGAGCTTCCTGTCAGAAGCAAGACGCCTTGTACACTTTGCCTGAAGTCTTCCTACAATTCCAAACAACTTTGCTTTAGCATCATTAAGCATACTCCAATTCTGTGGTTTCGGAACTACGCCAATCACATCATCCAATGACAACACACCTGACACATCAATCTCAGCTGTGTGTGCATCCAAACACCGCCTTCATTTGCACAAATTAGAGCACAAATTTACAACTTGTACGATACTGTCAGCAAAGGATGTGGGGGTGATTCGAGAAGTGAATCCTCTCTACTCACTCACCTTGAGACCAAAGATGCTGTCCTCTCTCAATGCGCAAATTCCGCCGGACATGTAACTGCAGTCGTTATTTGCACCACCTACCATGACTACGGTATCTGCCGGTCGTTCTCCAGCCTTGAAGAAACAAATGCATTGCATGCACAACTTGCGAACATTTGCCTACTTCAGCAGGCTGCAATATCCTATTCCATCTTCGTGGGTAATAAATGAAAACTCCGTGTAATGCAAGAGAATGCGTGGATAACTGGGAGCGCGGATTTACTTGCTGAACTAATGAGCTCATTTAAAAATTCAAAGCTGCATTTAGTGTCCTTAGGTGGAACATCTCCTTACCAAATTTGCTTTGACCACTCTATTCAACTCCGCAACATTCACTCTCGCGTGTGGTATCAGCAGCACACGACGTGTTGGTGCGTATACCACAGCAGTATTATGCAGAGCAGCGCTTTCGTGGAAGGACTGCAAACAAAGAAGCGATTCGCATGAGCTGGCAAATCTGGTGGGCACCAGAGGGTGGCAGAGGACAACGAAATTGCACTCACCGAGTTGCGGTAAACAATGTGGTAGAAGATGTTGGATCGATCCTTGAGCTCAATCGAGCTGTCTATACGAACCAGGAGACTGTGTGCCTCCTCATCTGTCGCGTGAACCGCCACACTTATGAATCCATTCCACTTTGCTGCAAGATCCCTGAATTCGCCGAAACTAAGCACAATGGAGAAGTGGGGAGCAGTTGTGAGAAGAGTTCAAATTGCTGATGTGACTGTACCATGGAACCAGTCAGAAGAGAAGGCCCACACAATATGCGAAAGTGATGACAAAATAAGTGGAAGGGTGGATTACTTGTTGATGTCCAAGGTGACAGCCAGCGTCACGTGGTTGCTGTTCTCCACAAGTTTGCCGTGGTCCTGACTCACGTAGAGGGGATGAATGCGGTGGTCGAGGGTGAATAGGAAGTGCTTCGACTCATCACACCACGGTGTGAAGACCTGCCATCTCGATTGGCAGAGCTTCGTGGCACTCACCACCTGTCCATGTGGATGCAGTCTGCTCATCACCTACAAGACGTGAGACAAATGTGTGCGTGTGGCGAGAGATGGCGTGGGATGGGATGGGAAGGGATGAGAAGAGGTCATTTGGTTGGCAGACAACGTACCCCACGAAAGTCGAAAACCGGTGCTTCTATTGGTCGATGACGAAATTGGTAGCCGTTCTGCATGTGGTACCGACTGCGTATGGCGATGTAGCGCTTTGTGATGTCCACCACTAAGGCAGCAAAACAGATATTTACGGAAATGATAGTGATCTCCAATGTTGTGATAAAACTCCCAATTCTGGTCTCATCTCCTGTGTTCCAGATGTGAGAAACATCGGCAAAGTGAAAATGTGACCTCACATTTCAGAGCGTCACGAGGGGCTGCTGCTGCGAGAAAAAAAT